TCACCCTGGCCATCCTGGCTCTCTGCTGCAGCCCTGGTGAGTGCCCAGAGCCCCTCTCCCCCAAGCTGGGCTCCGGAACTCTCCCTGCCGCCCACTTCTGCTCAGGAGAAAGGGTGGCTCCTGGGAGGGCCTGGACACGCGGACTCCCGGCCAGGAAGCTGGGTCTAGTGAACAAGCCCATCTGGGGAACTTGAGGAGAGCCCTGAGACTGTGAGAAAACCTGAAAATGATCCCATCTTCCCTATCCAACAGCCTCAGGATTCCAGGGAGTGGAATAGACTGGAGGGAGGCATGGAGGAGATCCCACATAGATGCATTTGTCCAACGACCAACAGAATAGGAATAACAAGCTTCTCAAAGCCCATCTTGGACAGACCCCAAGATGCCAAGAGACTTTGGTGCAGCCTCCAAGGTTGAGGTCTGCACACCAGTGTGGCAGCCAAAGGGCTGGAAGGAGCTGCAAAGCCTCATGTCTCAAAGGAAACTCAAACCAAGGCAAGGTCTCCCATTCTGGGCAGAGAGGAATATTCCAGAAGAGGATGTTTCCTTTGGGAAATTACCAACCCAGAGTGGAGTTCTCTAAACATTTTTGTCCTCTGCGAAAAGGAGATTAGCAGTTTCTGAGTAGTTTCAGCTGTCACTAAGAGGAAAGGAATGGAGGGGAGAGAGAGAGAGAGAGGGAGAGAACAGTCAACCACACTTCCCTCCAAGCCCCTGGATCTTTTGGGAATTGGGTCACCTACCTGTTTTTTAACACCTAACAGCCTCATCTCTTAATAAAAAAATATATATATATATTTTTTTTTAAATATTAAAAATATTAAAAAATATATATATTCTTTTAACTAATTCCAGTGAACTCACTTTGAAAGTTTCATAATACCCATGGAAATAAGTTTTATGACCCTAGGGCGAGATGGGATGAGGGAAGAGTTAGAAAACCAAAACCAAGAGACGGTGGAAACAGCTATTGTGCAGAGATGCTCGTTCTAAAGGGAAATAACATCATTTTGGACTGAAAAGTATATTAATTAGAAGAACTTGATGTTGTGTACAGTGGAGGTGGCTCAGAAAGACGGGACTGAAATATGTTTTGGGGTGGATCTTGGGTGCACTTGTGCATATGTGTGAGCACACAGGTAATAACACCAGCAATAATATCCAACATTTATTTGGTACTTACAGTGTGTGAATCACTGTTCCGAGCCCCTTTCATAGTTTTTTTTTTTTCATTCTTACGACAACCCTACAAAGTAGGGATATTATCCCCATTTTACAGATGAGCAAAGGAGCCACAGAAAGCTAAAATAACTTCCCCGGTGACATAGTAAGTTGCAAAGCAGGGGTCTAGGTTCCGGAGAGGGTTTTTGACTTGGAGCGCCCACTTTGGGTGGGGCCCTGGAGTCCAGGCACAGAAGCCGAATTTGCACACAAGGCAGAGAACTCAAGGACGCGATCTGAGGCTTAGTGAGAAGAAGGAGGAAGAAAAAGTAGGAAATGGTGACTCTTGCCCATGTTCCTGAGGGCAGGGACCTGTTTCTAGTGGGAGCCAAAATTCTCCGTGGCCTCTTCCCATCCCCGACACGGCATGAAAAATCAGACCAGTGGCCGGCCCGGTGGCACAGTGGTTAAGTTCGTGCACTCTGCTTCAGAGGCCCAGGGTTTGCCGGTTTGGATCCCGGGCACGGACCTACACACAGCTCACCAAGCCATGCTGTGGCAGGCATCCCACATATAAAATAGAGGAAGTTTGGCACAGATGTTAGCTCAGGGCCAGTCTTCTTCAAAACAATAATAATTAATTAAAAAAAAATCAGACCAGCAGCTTCTGCTGTCAATACTCTGCCTAGAAATCTAACAGAGAGAACAAATGGCGCCTTGCCTCACCCCAACCCAGGAAGTGCAAGGAAGGCTCAGGCAAGCCACAGAAAGCTGGCTGCAACCCAGGAAGTATCCACACAGCCCAAGAGCCAGCTGCTTGGAGCATCAACAATCTCATATCCTTCACCATCGACGAAAAGGCTGCTATCTCTTGCTGACAGGCCTGGCTGTTTGCACCTGGGGTGGGCCCAGCCAGGGAGCTGGCCAGCTTGAAAAGGGGCCTGGATTCATGTGCTTTCTCTTTCCCGTGCTCCAGCTTCTGCAGAAATCTGCCAGAGCTTTGCAGACATCATTCAAGGCCTCTTCCTGGGCACACCTGCCAGTTTCGAGGCTGCAGTGGAACCCTTCAACCCTGATGCAGACATGAAAGCTGCGGCGACCCAGCTGAAGACGCTGGTGGACTTCCTCCCCAAGAACACCAAGGACAGCATCTTAAAGCTCATGGTACACGGCTTCCTCCACTCACACTGCTTAGCAGTGGATTGCCCA